TTTCTGATATGATTTTGAAACAGGGGTGATTCGGCTAAAATGGCGGCAGCGCGACATTAAAGGCGGCGAGAGAAACCGAACGAGTGTTCTAGCGGTAGTGGCTCTCTTTCTTGGCGGCGGCGGCGGCAGTAGCTGGCTAACCCTAAGTTAAGGTTAGTGAATGTACTAACATGATGTGCCATTAGGATTTTGTAATTTGGGCCTGCTGTAAGGCTTGTTTTGGTTGGACCATTGGGTCACTTTTAATCTGTAAAATAAAATAAAATAATAAAAAAATAATTTCGACCCGGACAAAAACGGATATCTACAATGTTGTTAATGATGTCGAAGCCCGAATCGAGCAAATTAAACTTCTATATATGCAGATTGATGATGGTTAGAGTAGCTTTCAAACATTGAGTAAAAATAAAGTTCGGAATCGTCGTTTTCTCTTCTGCAGTTCTACATAAGTCCCAATGTTTTTCCGTGCCTTAGAAATGATGAGTTCAAGTAACATAAACAGCATATGTTTATAGACGGTACGGTTACGAGAATTGCAGCTGAGACGAATCTCGAATTTCGACGAGAATCATATCGATTGAGCATTCAAAAAGAAGGTGTTTCAAGTTCTCCTTGAGTTGGATATTACATGTTGGGAACTTCCACTATTCCCCTTCTTAATGTAGAGAATTATCGAATCGATAGAATTCAGAGGTTAAATTTTATTGTCATATATTATAATTTACTATCGAAGAATGATTTTTTATCAATTTTTTTCACATTTTTCAGTTTGTTTAGTGGAAAATAGTTTGGGATTTGCTAAACAATTCTGATTAAGGCAGAAACCATACAAATTTAAGGAATAATGATATTGTTGATGAATGTTTTAATACCGAGTAGGAGTCCAAATTCAAAGTGAAAATACCAAATGTGAATGGCGTTTCAGTAATTTTGTATTTTGTTAACGATTTTTTTATTATAATTTTTAAAGATATTATTATTTTTGTAATTTTATTTTTTATCAACTGAATTGATGTTATTTAATCCGTGAAATCAAATTTAATGATTTTGTTCTTCAAATCTTTAAATTGAATGTGTTTCAGTTAAATAAAATAAATGTGAATACGAGCACTCTCCATTAAGGACGATGAGAAATATATGACAGGAGAATAATGATATATTTATCTTTGGGTAAATAACACAAATGGTCCATCGACTATAGAATACTATTTTATTACATTTCTCAATTATTAAAAATTACAAAATAGTCCTCTGAGTATAGAGTGTTATTTGTTGAGTCCCTTGACAATTAGAAGTTACAAAATGGTCATCCGACTATTCATTATGTTTCAAACTCATCTTTTTTCATTAAAAAAACAACAATATTCCGAGTTGAACGTTAACCTAGTGATTTTAATATGATAAAATCTGATATCGAAATCTTAAACGAATATCTTATCTCAGTCATCATGTTAACATTCATCTTAGATGACTGCCAATATTTTACACGAAAAAATGATGACTTTGAACATAATGAATAGTTGGATGATCATTTCGTAACTTTTAATAGTCGAGGGACTTAATAAAACAATACCCTATAGTCATGGAACCATTTGAGTGTTTTACCCTTTATTTTTATATATTTTAAAAAAATTGTTATAATATTCTTTCTTTTACTTTTTTAATTAGGTCTTTCTTTTATCGAATAAAAATAAGAATTATACATATATATTTGCGTCAGGTGGTATTTCGAGTTGATTTAAGTTTCTCTAAACATGGGCAAATCAAGTTGAGTGATAGATTAAGAGATGTTATACTCATCGAGTTTGGGTAAATTAAAAATTTGATTCAACGTATAATCATCTCTACTCTTGAACTGTCCCTAATTATAACAACAATAATATCAATAGAATAAAAACTCAATTTACATATATTTTCTATGTGTTTCAAAGGATTATATATGTCCCAAAAATTTGGCAATTTCCCCAAAAAAAATTATATAAAATCTATCAAAAACAAGTCCAACATTTTTGGCGGCAACTTCTGCCTTTTTGGTAGCAAAATTTGGGGATAAATGAAAACCCACCAATTTTACGAACATTCCCACTCGCCAATGGAGCGCGTATGTCCCACTCTTATTTGATCAAGGTATAGATTATGGTTGTTTTATCACTTGTAAAAATTATATTTCAATCTTCTTACTCTAATTTTGTGATATAAACTTTTATATTATTTTCATTTATAAATATTTTTCTTTTTATTTAATTCATCAAATTAAATAATCTTAGTGGATAAAAATATAATAAAAATATTGTATGAATTGATACATGCCCATAAGTTTTGCTGTAGATAAAATATTAAATGAATTTGATCGAAACAATCTAATCATATTAATTAAATAATCGTATGTAATTACTTGAATCTATCACTTCCAGGGAGAATAATATTTCATTTAACAACTAAGATCACTTAATGAGTTCATTAGAATAAAACTTAAAATATTTGATATTGGTACAATATGAAAACAACCGGTACAATATATGTCTTTGTGTCACGTTTTTCGTTTTCTTTATCGTTCTTTTATTTATGTTTTCTCAGAGTGATATTTGACGATGCTACGACTGATTAATATGACATATATTTGTAATCTTGTTGACATTCCTTGTTATGAACCTTGAGATTGAATTTAGATATGTGATTTTGATTTCGTGGATAGTTTCTCATGACGTTTGTCACTGATTTATGATACTCGATGGTCTTTCAATAACTACTTCTCTTTTTGTGGTTCACTTGCCGAAGCAATCAAATTTGCTTGTATAACTTTTTTTGTTCGAGTCTTTTAGCTGTTTTCCATATAGTTCTTATACGATATAAAGTGACTAGTTTCAATGTTATAGGGAAATATCGAAAATATATGATCACATATTGGATTTCTGTTATTTACATATTCTCTCAATTTAGTATATTTTTAATGAATTGGAATAAATTTAACCATCCAATCGAATGATGTCATGTGTCACGAGTGCCACGTGTCACCATTCGATTTGAGGATTTAGGTTTATCTTAATTTATTTTAATTTAATATATTTATTTTTCTACCAATTAGAGGGTGACACTCCTAATTGAAAATAGAAACAAAGCAAAGCCAAATGGGAGATTTAAACTTGGCTCTCTTGGGAAATCAAGCATGTATCAAAACCATTTAGTCAAAGCCAATGCTTAATTTAAAATAGACAACACAATATATATATATATATCTTAGTGTATAAATACTTTTTTTTTATAGAAAGCCGCTAGTTTTATTAAAAGTAGAAAATATCTAAAATTACAATGAAGATTTACAAGTATAACTGTAAGCGTAAACTAAATTATAATTAGGACATTTTCCTATAACCTATGATACAAAAACTAGTCACCTAGATCATATAAGGACCAAAGAAGGAAAGGTTAAAAAACTTAACCAAAATACTCGAACAAAATAAAGATATGAACAAATATGACTGAATCAACAAACAAACTACAAAAGGGGATGAAGCTATTGAAAGACCACTGATAAATTGCAAATCAGAGTCAAGCAACATGAGAAAACTATCCACGAATGCAAAACGCGTATCCTAATTAATCCGAGGGTCCAAAGTAGGGAAGATCAACATGATAACAAATAAGTGACATCTTGATCAGTCATGGCAATGTCAAATCCAACCCCAAAAAAAATTAAACAAAAAAATTGCCAAAAATTTGAAAACTGCTAAAAAACATATATAAACGTGCTACAAAGGCATAAATAAACATATCATAAAGACATAATTATTCATAAAAACTAAAAAAAGAAAGAGAAAAGACAACCGACGATCGACAATCAGTATCAAAACTGGTGTTGTCGTTAGCTAAACAAAATCAAAGAAAAAAATTGATTTGATCTACAGAAAATAGCTCAAATTGCAAGAAAAAAATGAGAGAGGAGTGAAAGAGTGGCTAGGGTTTTATCTTTCTTAGTGTATAAATACTTAACTTCATAATATATATATTAAGTACAAAATATTTTTTATATTAAATTATTAAATATATTTTATTATTAACTCAATTTAAAAAAAAATTAATTATTAGTGGCACTAGTGACACATGGTATTATTCGATTGGAAGATTAATTTTATTTTAATTTATTAAAAGTAAGACTAATTTGAAAGAATATGCAAATAACATATACCAAATGTGTGATTATACCAAACTATTTATCAGCAATTAACTCATGGTAACCACATCTTAAATAAATGAAAACAAAAGTGTTCATATATTGTGTTTTTTCAAATCAATTGAAGTCGGTGAGGAAACATAGACAAAACACAAAATAAATGATCAATAATGTAGTTAATCCAAATTTTAATCACGATTATCTATTTTTTTTAGTATAAACCAACTTATCTTAGTGGTTAAAGGGTTTAGGGTTATTCTTATAGGTTACGAGTTTGAGCATCAATAACTACAACAAAATAATTGAGTGGTCATTGTCAAATGATTAAGAATGTGTAGAACATATGCTATTTTGTAATCACCTTAGTTTAATCAAAAGAAAATTATCCATTTTTACTTGTAAAAAATGTAAAAGAAACATATAAAATTATGTTTTATAATATATAAGTGGATAATAACCTATATATATATTGATGTATTTATCTAATTTTATACATGCATAGACACATAAATGTGTCATGGTGTATAAATTTTAAAAGTTATATTAAAAATTTTAGGATATAAAATTAAATAATTAATAAAAAATATAAAATATAAGAAAATTTAAAAATTCAAAGCACTCTCTCGATGCATCGGTGATTTTATACCTTGATATAGTTTTTATACGTATTTATATACTTTGAATTTGACCCCACCAACTCAACAGCCCAATCTTATTTTTTCGAATTAAATTTTATTAAATCACGCTCTTCCCATGCGCGTGGATGTTATTAATTTACTTAATAAAATGTCTCGGTATATTTTTCTTAAAACCTGATAGCCCTAAGTCTCCTTCACCTTAAGAAAAAAGGAACCCCAAAAACTCTGAAGCAAACTCTAAACGCAACTTCTTCTTTTTAATCTCCTCAATTGATTTATAAGCGATTTTAGTTAGTGGGTTTCGCTTCCTTTTCGATTTCCAAATCGGAACGGTCCGATTCCGCGTATCCCCTGGTGAGTTAAGTACCGAGTTCCAACGATTTGTATCTATCTTCAAGTATCATTGTTTTATTGAAGCACCCAATTGAGAGGAAAAACTGGGATATGGATTATTAGTTGAATGCCCATTTGTTTATATCTCTTCGATCAATAATTTTTTTGTTCATATTATTTGTGGGGGAAGTTTTGGTCATGCAATTAACGCCGACCTCGGTTTCTTCATCGAAACGGAGGGATTCTGGGAAAAAAACGGGTGCTAGGCTTCAAACGAAGCGTAAGAGACTAGATGCAATATGTGAGGACGAGTATAATAGGAACCATGGAGAAGGGAATAAGGGGGATGGTGCTGATGGGTCGGAGAGTGTGGACTTGGAGCTCCGTAGGAGCTCTCGGGTCAGGAGAGCGCCTGTTGTTTTGGATGTGTCGCCTATGCCGCCGAAGAAGAGGCGGAAGGTTGGGAAGAATGGGAGGTCCGGTCCGGGGAAGAGGTCTTTAGGAAGTGTGAAGAAGGAGGAGGAGGAATGGACTAGGGAGGTACAGACTCTGGGGAGTTGGACATCAAGGCTGAGGACAAGGAGAAGGAAATCGAGTTTTAGAGCGAAGGTTGAGGAGAGAGATTTTTCGAGTAAGAGGAAGCTCTTTAAGGATATAGGTGAGAATGAGGATGAAGAGGAGGAGGATCAAGAAGAGGAGGACGAAAAGGAGGAGGAGGTTCAAGAAGAGGAGGAGGAAGAAGAAGAAGAGGAGGACGACGAAGAGGAGGAGGAAGACAAAGAGAAAGAGGAGGGTGAAATGAATGATGGGAAAATTATGATTGTCACATACAAGAGGCTGGGGAGGGTTAAGGCAGCGAGTGGTTCAGAGAGTAAAGATAAGGTTGAGATCTGTCTCATGGAAGAAGAAAGAGAGTTGGAAAAAGAAGAAATTAAAGGTGATGGAAAAGTGGATGGTGAGCCTGTTTTAGAAAGTGAAACAAGTCATGAAAATCGTAGGGAGGATGAGGCTGCCGAGAATGTTCCTGTTCTGGAGAGTGAAATCAGTCACTTAAATAAGAGGTTGGATCAAAATCTGGTTAATACGGTTGAAGAAGAAGATAGAGAAGTTTCAAATTGTATGCAGTCCGAGGAGGGTTGCATTGGCCTTGAAAATGCTAAGGTAACTGAATCAATTGAAAGAGTGGAGCCAAGGGAAAAACAAGATCAACAGTTGGAATGTGAGGATGGAGGAGCAAACAGAGAGGATGTTGTAGAAGTATATAATGTTCCAGAGGAAGTTGAAGATGGTGGTATTCATGATGCAAAAGATAATGGATTGTTGGAGGTTTCTGATAAAGATATGAAGGTAGAGGAGTCAAATCAAGCTACTCCTGAGACAATTAGCAAGGCACGAATCAAACAAGGCAGAAGGTGTGGTTTGTGTGGTGGTGCAACTGACGGCAGACCCCCAAAGAAGCTGGTTCATGATGCAGGTGATAGTGAAAACGAAACATACAGCTCTTCAGCTTCTGAGGAACCTAACTATGACATTTGGGATGGGTTTGGGGATGAACCTGGGTGGCTTGGTCGTCTCCTGGGTCCTATAAATGATCGTTATGGAATTGCTCAAATCTGGGTTCATCAACAGTGTGCTGTATGGAGTCCTGAGGTGAGCCTTATTTCTCCCCTCTTATTAGCTTAACTTATTCCTGATATTGGTGAGCTTGTATGTGATATGATTCCACTCCTACCAATATATGTATGCATTTACACATATAGTGCTTATTTTATCAATAATTGTTTCCTACTCGGTCTGCTATAGGATTCTGTAAGCATTTTGGAATCCACTATTGGTCCTGTAGCTTGCTTTGGCTTTTGATACAACATTGTCATGGTCTTTTACAATAGCTTCTTGTCCATTTAATGTTTCTTTCTTGAATCTTCCCCTTTTAACAACATTCACCTTTCTGTACGTATGCATATCCCCATTTTCTGATGTTCCTTTTTGTAGGTTTATTTTGCTGGCTTGGGCCACTTAAAAAATGTTAGAGCAGCCCTTTGTAGAGGAAGAGCATTAAAATGCACCAGATGTGGGAGGCCAGGAGCAACAATTGGATGTCGTGTTGACCGGTGTCCTAAAACATACCACTTGGTATGTGTCTTGGTATCTTTTGTTCAAAGAAGTCCCCTTTAATACATCCTCCTGGATTCCCCTGCTTCAATTTTTGTTGGAGAAATATGAAGATGCTCATGTTACTTTCTTATTGTTGACATTCTATTTTTTGCAGCCTTGTGCAAGGTCTAATGGTTGTGTCTTTGATCATCGTAAATTTCTCATAGCTTGCACTGATCATCGACATCTCTTTCAACCTCAAGGAATTCAATATCTAGCCAAGATAAGGAAAATGAAAGCTAAGAAAATGAAGTTGGAAATGAGGAAGGTATCAAATGATGCATGGCGAAAGGATATTGAAGCAGAAGAAAAATGGTTGGAGCATTGTGGTGAGGATGAAGAGTTCTTGAAACGAGAGGGCAAGAGACTTCATCGAGACTTGCTAAGAATAGCACCTGTCTATATTGGAGGCTCAGAGTCTGATGGTGGGAAATCTTTTGAGGGTTGGGAATCAGTTGCTGGTTTGCAGGATGTTGTCCGGTGCATGAAGGAAGTTGTTATCTTACCACTGTTGTATCCTGAGTTCTTTGATAATCTGGGCCTTACACCACCAAGAGGTGTCCTTTTGCATGGATATCCTGGAACAGGTAAAACTCTTGTAGTGCGAGCATTGATTGGTGCTTGTGCTCGTGGGGATAAGCGGATTGCATATTTTGCCCGCAAAGGTGCTGATTGTTTAGGGAAATATGTTGGTGATGCTGAACGTCAGCTGAGGCTCTTGTTCCAGGTTGCTGAGAGGTGTCAACCTTCAATAATATTTTTTGATGAGATAGATGGCTTAGCACCTAGACGGACAAGGCAGCAAGATCAGACACATAGTTCAGTTGTGTCCACACTGCTTGCTCTGTTGGATGGTTTAAAGTCTCGGGGCTCAGTGGTGGTGATAGGTGCAACTAATCGCCCTGATTCTGTTGATCCTGCATTGAGGAGGCCTGGAAGATTTGACCGAGAGATTTATTTTCCACTGCCATCAATGGAAGACAGGGCTGCAATCCTTGAACTTCATACTAAAAAATGGCCGAAACCAGTTACTGGATCTATGCTGAAATGGGTTGCAAGAAAGACTGTAGGGTTTGCTGGTGCAGATTTACAGGCCCTTTGTACTCAAGCAGCTGTTATTGCCCTGAAGAGGAATTTTCCTTTGCACGAAATTTTGTCTGCTGCCGAAGAGAAAACTCCGGGTGCTAAACGTGTTCCTCTTCCTACTGTCAGAGTTGAGGAAAGGGATTGGGTGGAAGCTTTGTCATGTTCTCCACCTCCTTGCTCACGTCGAGAAGCTGGAATGGCTGCTCAAGATTTAGTTGCCTCTCCTCTTCCTGCGCATCTCATTCCTTGTTTGTTAGAACCATTATCCACTTTGCTTGTTTCTCTTCATTTGGATGAGCGCCTCTGGTTGCCACCAGTTCTTTCTAAAGCTTGTGGTGTGATCGAGAGTGTGATTGTATCCACATTGCATGAAAAGAGACTGTCCAAGGATCATTGGTGGTTGCATGTTCGGGATCTTCTTCAGGAAGGAGAGGTTATCAAACAGATAGAGAGAAGGCTATCATGTGCTGGGATGCTAGTTGGACAGAATTATGATGCTTTTGTAGGTGATGTTAGTGATGAGGTTGGCAAGTTTGAACATCCAATATTGCGTAATGGCAGTTCTAGTTTGTCACAAAATACTTATTTGACTTCAAAAAGGAAAATGGGTTTTCGAATATTAATTGCTGGCTGTCCAAGGTCTGGCCAAAAGCATCTTGCTTCTTGTCTTCTTCACTGTTTTGTTGGGAATGTTGAAATACAAAAAGTCGATTTAGCTACAATTGCACAAGAAGGGCATGGTGACTTAATTCAAGGAGTAACTGAAATTTTGAGTATGTTTTTCGTACTTTATCATTATGTTCTAGGCAGTATTAGTTCTTTGGTACCACCTGTTAACTTTTTAACTAACCTGGGATATTCTATGTGATGCTGACCTCTGCCTTTTACATGTGTTTCCCCACCTTTTTTCCTTGTATGCTCCTTGGATCGTGGTTTAGGCTGCTTAGTGATTCTGTAATAGGAATATTTCTTTATTATTCTTTTCCTCTTGTAACAGATAGTGGATTGGCTTGTAAGGGATTTCCTGAGCATGTATGACAATATTCAGCTTCTTGCGTCATGCTTTCTGCTTTTATTCTATCTTTTCACGCCATGTGTTTTAACCTTAGAAACCTCTTTTGTGAATGTTAGACTAAAGGGTTACTTGATCTAACTCGTTGGGAAATCCTTGCTAACTATTGAAATTCAATGTCAGTGAAATGTGCAAGCATGGGATCAAGTGTAGTGTTTATGCCAAGAATAGATTTGTGGGCTGTAGAGACCATTAATCAAGTTTCCGAGGAGAGCAATTCATATTCAGTGTTAGATCAAGCACCGATGGAGGAAGATCCTCAACTTGTTGGAAAGGAGCAGCAATCTGAGTTTGCAGAAACAGTAGAGGGTACAAATGCTGTCCAAAGTGTCTCACATACCTGGAGCTCATTTGTTGAGCATGTGGAATCTATTTGTGCTTCTACATCCTTGATAATCTTGGTACGAGTTATTTTTATTACTTGATTTCTTTTCAAGATTTAATAATTTATTTTTTTGCTTGAGTAGCTACGCTCTACCTGTGGAGCTTTGGAATGAACGTAGTTTTTGCTTTGTTGGATATCTGATTTTTATTTCTATTTTCTTCAAGAGTTCCTTGGGTTGCTTTGCACTTTTCTGACTTACTTTCTATCAAGTAAAATTTCTTCAGTTTGACAGTTGACTTACTTTCATTTGAGAAAGCAATAGGGTATAGCTTCTTTTTTCTCTAAAAATGACATGGATGGATTGACTGATTAAAACTAAAACACAGACTCGGAACATGGGGCTTGAAACTTCATGCCGTGTTCCTTTCACTTGATTTATGACATTGGCAAGTCAATTGTTATAAATGTGTTGGTATTTCAGTATGATCCTTATTCAATCAGATTTTTCGCTTAACATACATTTCTCTGTCCCTCCGACCCTTTCTCTTGTTTATCATCTCTTTGAAGCATGTCTAAATCTTAATGCTTCTCATCTGCAAGCAGGCTACTTCAGAAGTTCCCCACATGGAACTCCCCAATAGAGTAAGGGAATTTTTTAAGAGTGATCTACCAAATTGCAGTCAGAGAACTACATTAGGGCACACAGTACCAAGATTTACAGTGCATCTCGGCAAGAGTTTCAACCATGATATGGTTATCAAACTATCTGCTGCAGAGCTATCAAGGGATATCCTTCAATATTTTGTTCATTTAATTCATCAAAAGTCTCACGTCCATGAAGATTCCAAAAGAAAAAATTCTGTCCAAACCCCTGCAGCTGCAGAAACTGATAACACATCTCATGATTTGGCTCGTGAAGTTGGTTCACAATCTTGTGGTGATTTGTTCATCACAGTGCCGGCAGAGGTGGCACCACCAGCCAACATTAGAAATTTGAAGGGCAAACCAAACTTGATGCTGGCAATATCTTCATTTGGCTATCAAATTTTGCGATGTCCGCATTTTGCAGAGCTTTGCTGGGTGACATCAAAACTTAAAGTGGGTCCTTCTGCAGAAATTGGTGGCCCCTGGAAGGGCTGGCCATTCAACTCTTGTATCATTCGTGCCACCAACTCACCTGACAAGGCAACGGTTGCATGTGGCTCCAGCAACACTAAAAGCAAAGAGAAATTTGGTTTGGTCAGAGGTCTGGTTGCAGTTGGTTTAACAGCATACAAAGGCTTATATGCATCACTTAGAGAAGTTTCCTCCGAGGTGCGGAAGGTTCTTGAGCTACTAGTTGGGTGGATTAATGCTAAAGTTAACAGCGGAAAAGATAGATATCAGTATGTTCATATTCTGTCTCAAGTTGCTTATTTGGAAGATATGGTTAACAACTGGGTTTATTCGCTGCAGAGGTACACTAATCTTGTTACACTTGTATGTTTGGGGTTCATATATACGGGTTCATATATAGTCTAACAAAAGATTTGATTCATTTGCAGTTTAGATCAAGATCTTCAAATAAAAGCAGCAAGTCCCAATGCTTTCGGATCTCAAGGTAGTTATTCTACATGTGTGAATGATATGGATAGATCAAGAAGTTGCCCTGAATCCAAAGGTCCAGGTGTAAACACCAAGGAATCTGCTGTGCAAAATACTGATTTCATTGATTTAAGCAAGAAGGATGACAACGAAGAAAAAGTTGAACTTCTCGAAGAAGCTGTGCAGGGGCAGGGGATAGGCATCAGTGGTAATACCATTTCAGAGGAGCATCTTAATTCTTCTCCAGCCAACCAACCAACTGCTTGTGTAGATGAGCAGAATGCGACAAATAGTCTGCATGCATCAGAAAGTACTAGAAGTCGAATGGTTGAGAGAGAATTAACAGCTCAAAATAAAGATTCCATTGACTTGAACAAGATGGTTGATGAATGTGTTCCTAGTCACAAGGTAGAAGTTGCTGCGGTGGAAGAAGATGTAGTGAGTGCAAGTCTCTGTGATAATACTATTTCACTGGAGCATCGTAACCGTTCTTTGGCCAATGATCAGCTTTGTGTAGATGAGCATAACAGGACAATGCCCAGACCAAGTGGTTCAGTAAATACTGGAAATCCTATGCTTGTGGGAGATCCTCGGTCTTCAAAACAGTGTAACGGATTCGCACCGAGCAAAAATGTTCTTTCTGAGAATGGATTTTGTAGTTCAGATGAACTAGACAGTGTAACGTTCTCTGGTTCTGGGAAAACTTGCAGCCGCATTAATGCTTCTGAAATTGAGACCACTATCACACCTGAACTTGGCAAGCCTGATGATCATGAACAAGGAAAATATCCCGATTTCGTTTCGAATGGAACTGCTCTTCCAGCTGAACCCGAAACTACATGCTTTTACCGCTGCTGCTCTGGCTGCCTACATACCCTCCTTGGTTTGATGCAAAAGCTTCTGTGCAAGGAATGGAAATTAGGTGATGACTATTGGACAGTAGATGATATTTATGATACAGTTGCATTACTGTCTATGGATCTTCTTTCAACTGTCAGGAAAGTTTATGGTACTGGATGTAGCAGCAATAAATTTGATGAAAACCTGAGAAATGAAAATCATGGTAACTTATCAAACTGTCCGGAATGGAGTAGATGCTGTTGCAAAAGCTCAGAAGATGGTTTAGTTATTCCAACACAATGTAGCTGTCACTCTGTAGGAACCACTTCTCCAAACATACAAGCCGATTTGGATCCAGAATTCGTTTACAGAGATGGAGTGATGGTTCCTATAGATTCTAGCAAAGAAGTTTCTTTTCACTGTAAATTCGATACGTTGTGCCTCTGCTCTCTTATAGTCTCTCTCTCAATGACTAAGCAGCCTTCGGAATGATTTCGGTTTTTTTACAGTACCAAGGAAGGAGCATTACCGTATATCATATCTTCTCCCGAGGCATACTCGACTGGAAGGGTCATTAATTTGTTTCCTACTCGAATTGCTTCCCCAAATTTTGTTTCTCCTGGGAAGAAGCTAACCTACATACCATGTAAATATCATCCAAGGTTACTGCAGCTCTGGGTACTGTATGTTTTCTCATGGCCATCACATAATAATATATATTCGTATGGAGGTTTGTCATTGTGGTGTTTGTTATTTTGTTGCATTCTTTTGCATTTCGCGAATACATTGATATATACTCTTCTTAAGCAGTGCGATTTTCGGGCTCGAAGTTTTGGAGTTGTTTCAGATTATCTTTCAAATGTTCATAATATTTAGGTTCCTTCAGCTGTGGGATGGAACTGTGTTTGACCTTGCCTTTTCTTGTAAGAGCATTTCTTTTCATGGTTGCCCACGTTTATATCATTTTCGCCCCTATGGTTTTCTTTTTGCATCGATTAAACCCTCGAAGTCCGTTGACCGTTTTGACTAACAGAACTGTGAGTCTTTTGCGTATGTGGATTACGGGATTAGGTTAAAATATTTATTAAATACAATGATTAAAATTTTATTATTTATTTTAGTTAGATTAAGAGATTAGATCAATTTTTTTTGGGATTTTTTCAATCATTGTATTTAGTAAATATTTTAAATATTTTATTATTTATTTAATAAAGATCACGTTATCGTTAAGCCATAACAATAATATTAGTTGATCTAAAAATTGACTAACAGATTTCGAGGGTTAGAATGAACATCGTAAACAATTTCAAGAGTTATATTGTTGCAAAAAAATCATAGAAGCGAAAATGATAAATTTGGTTTACTATAGGTGTAAAAGTAACCATTAAGCATTCTTTTAATCTATAAGGTTACTCAAAAGGTCCATATAAATAATTATTTATAATTTTATATTTGATTTCTTAATGAGATCATGTGATTTATTGAATTGATTTACACATTAACACAACAAATATAAATGAGTTGTTTTGAAGCTCAATCGTACAAGGGAAACTTTAAGGCACAAGAGAATTTGATCTCTCCTTTTAAACATCACATGGCTTCACAGCCCACGTATAGCTTCATCGGTTCATGTAATCCTACTGTGAAAATCTAATATCATCTGAATTTCGAATTTCGACATTTGCAACGCTATTCATTTTCTCGAACCGTGGCATCTTCTGTACCGAGAAAAATGACATTCATAGCTTCAAATCGAGATCAGCATGTCCTACTTCACTTTTACAATTGGTCATGGATATTGTGTTTGCTCTGTCGATTTGCACCAGTGCTGGTGGTATGAAGCTGTAATAAGGTCGATACGACTGCCGCTGGACAATCGGATCTTCGAAGCTTGCCTTCACACGTTCACGAGATAATACATGAGCAAATGAAGAGGAAACATAAAAACAAATAAGACTTAACGGAAAAACATAGATTGTAACCTGTTGTTTAAGCTCACCTGATAGGCTAATGATTCGAGGTCGGGCAATTCACAATTGTAATAGGATAAAATCGATGAAGGGTGCTTGAATTTTGAGCTCGAACACATCGGCGTGGTTGTTGGAGGTGATAGTGTGAGAAAAATCTCCATCAGAGACCCCATTTTGTTTGATGCTTCTCTTGGACCTTTATTCCACATTTGAGGTTGAACATGAAGGTCCTTCACTGAAAAACGATGCAAAAATAAAACATAAAAAATGGGGAAAGGAACTTAGAGAAAGTGAAGTCGGGATTTGAATCCGAAACCTCGATCGAACCTGAAACTCAGGGTGCCGGGTTCGAAATTGAATGCGCTACCATTTCTACTTGAAGCCGCTTCGACTTGTCCATTGATAGAATGAAAAGTGGGAGGATACTTGCTGTAGATAGGGGAAGCTGGAGCATTATCTGGAGAGAAAGGATACGATCTCTTCATGCCAACCACCTACAGTTTATTGTAACCAAATTTACACAACATCAAAGGTCTAAAAGAGAGAGAATAATGCATTCCTAATCGAACAAGAAACTTAGCTCAATCGGTTCATGCAATCACTTATAAAAAATTGGTATCCGACAAATTGAAAGTTCGTATCCTAACATAAATATTTCCCTTATATGATAAGTTTAACCGAGTAATATAAGAATAAGGGAATAGACTGTAGATGCTAAATACAAATCCCGGGCCTATTCGATACTACATTTCGAGGATAAGTTTATCGCAGGATCAATTGGTTCATGCTAACCACCTACAATATATTGTAACCAAATTCACACACTAAAGAGGGGTCCTACAAATTTAAAGTTCGAATCCCAGCATAAATCATTCCCCTATAGGATATTCACTGTGTAGTCTAAGAATAAGAGAATCGATTGCAGGTGCTAAATACAAATCCCAAACGAATATCGAAAAAGCTATACATTTTCGAACATTAGAAGGCAAATTGAGCATATGTACTTGTCATCTTCAGGCAATAAGGTGTACAATTTCCATAATGGCTTTGGTTTGAAGGGGGCTCCATCTGAAAATTCAATACAGATGTTGATGAAGTTCTTGCTGAAAAATTCACCTGCATTCATCAATTCCCCAATTCTTTAATCTATCACCAATGGCAGCAATGTACCGATCACAACGACACGAAATCGATAATTCTTACCATCGGAGAAGGTGCCTTTTGCATCAAGCCAGGCAAACTCAAACCAGGATCCAACACAGAACACTCTCTCTCAATGCTATTATACTCACAATCACAAGAACCCCACAATTTATTCAGACTGTTACCGCCGCCATTTCAGCTCAATGGAACAGTGTTTGCAGTACCGAAAACATCGGTGTTCTTCATGGAAAAATACGTTCTAAACATCGAATTTGGGACAGGCAAAGGAAAACACGACACCGGTGTCGGTGCCGAAGTATCACTCGGCGGTGAAATCACAACAGGTGATTTCGAACAAGGCGAAATCGAACCATCTTCCTTTTGTTGTTCTTCAATCCTAATCTTCTCAAGTTGAGCCATTAGGCCTTTGTTTCTTGGAGAATCTATCAATAATATTGTTCCCACTACCACTATTGCTATTACTATCACTATTAGTAATTTGCTCCTCTTGAGCCATTGTTTTCACTACCTTCCATATATGATTCAAACACAAATTTTCCGGAGAAAATTATGGATTCAAAGGAAAACCCAAGAATGCATATAGCATTTAGAGAAACACCCAAAGCTAAAAAAGAGATTTTTATATCACACAAGAAAATCCACAATGTTCCATTATAAATAAACAAAATAAAAGATATCCAAAATCTTGGCAAGTCAAAGAGAACAAATCCTTAAGCTTAGCCAAGTTTTAAGCACAGATTAGTGAGAAAAAAAGTGGAAAAAATAAGAGGAGACCACTATATCTGAGAGGTTTCAGATTTTGGGAGTTTGTCTGAGATGAAAATTAAATGAATTATATGCTAAAAGCTTGTGAATTTGATTATTATCGTTGGTTATATTCCAAATCTTTAGTTTACTAAAAATATAAAATTTTCTCACTGGTTTCTTGCCCAAATTATCGGTCCAACTCTTCCTCTTTTCATTCCTAAGTCTCCTTCTCCCTCTCTTTCAGCTTTGTTTCTTTTATTTTTCTCCACAATAATTTTGTTTTCAAACTTTCCAAATCATTTGGTTGGTTTATGTAATTATTTTTAAATGACATTTCATCAATCCTAAGCTAAATTGATAATTGTTTGATTAAAAAAAGTTGGAGAGTAAATTACACCTTATTACTTAAACTATCAGTTTTAGTACCTAAACTTCTATTTTTTTTTCAAAAACATACATGATGTTAAGTTTTTGTTTCATTTTCGCATCTTGTCGTTAAAATTTTTAGTTTTTGTTTCATTTTAATACCCCGTTCAAAAGTTAGCGTTAAGTTTTGAAAAAATTAAAAATTTAAGTACTAAAACGGACCAAAATTGATAGTTTAAATAATAAACACGTTAAGTTTTTAAGGAATGAGCACTAAAATGAAATAAAAACTAAATGTTAGGTATGATTTTAAAAAAAAATTAAAGTTTATGTACTAAAATAGACTAAAATTGATAGTTTAAATATTAAATACGTAGTTTATCCAAAAGTTAAGGGTAAAGAATACAAATAATCCTAAGATTATAGGGCATTACTTTATTGAGTCTCATAGCTAAAGTTATAAAATAATTACCCGATTATTAAAAAATATAAAATAATCATTCGACTATTCATATGCATAATCACCAAATTATTGTTATTATGTACAAATAATTAAACCGAATTAGAAAAACCCTAAAGCCCATCAAGCCCTAAAACCCTAATTCCCTCCCCTTTATCCCAACTGTCGGATTCACCTAGCCGAGCCATGTCATCGCGTTGCTGCACTTCACCCTAGTCGAGTCGCGTCGCCGATTATCGAGCCGAACCACTCCTCGTTTCCATTTTCGACCACAACAAAAGGAAAACAACAAAACTTTAGATTTCCATTTTTATTTTAACAACATGGGTAGGGATGGGCATGAGACCCGAACCCGATTGGGTCGGGATTTTTTTTTAAAAAAAATCAGGTTCGGGTCGGGGAGATTTTTTAAAGGTGATGTTCAAGACGGGTCAGATTCGGGTTTAGGGTAAAAATACCTAACCCGACCCGACCCGAAAAATATATAATTTTACCTTAAATATTTAGGAATAATTATAATAGTACCCCTTTATATATTATTTTTTTCAATTAAATCACTACTTTTATTGAATAAAAATAATATTTTTTATTATTTCGGGTAGGGTCGGATCGGGTTCAAATTTTATCTCAAAAAGTTAGGTCGGGTGAAGGACGTAAAATTTTTGGGCCGGGTCGGTTGGTCGAAACCCTACCCATGTCCATCCCTAAACATGGGTGTTTTAAACCCAAGAAACAAATCAATACAAAAAAAGGAACACAATACCAAAATGTTTTAAGGTATTTTCCATCTTTTTAATTTGGGTGCATGTGCGTTTTTTTAAAAAGACGAAAAATAAAAATTTTGGCTTGTTTATCTCGGTCATAAGGTTGTCATCAGAGTCCTAGCCTTGTCGGAGTCGGTATTTCGGGATTCGAGCTTTAGTGGGATGAGATGGCCTTGTTTCCCTGAATTTCAAAAAGTTTTAGTGTGGAATGGAAGGAGTTTGGGCTCGGTTTAAATAAAAATCAAACCTTCGATTTAAGTAAGAAATTTAGGCTTGCATGTTATGGGGAGCAATCTGATCATTATATGTCATCAGATCCTCTCTATACCATGTCTTGAAGAATTGTTTTCTTTCTTGAATTCTT